AATATTCATTTTTTTAATATATATATATATATATATATATATATATATATATATATATATATATATATATATATATATATATAGATAGATAGAGAGAGAGAGGGTTAGATTTATGTGAGACGGCCTAATTTTGTGAAACCGTGAGACGCATTTTTTTTTTTTTTAATTAATTCAAGTTCCGAAAATAATATTTAAAAAAAGAATTTGTTTGATTTTTCCATTTATTTTGCATTTTAAAATTATTTTTAGAATATGTACAGTGTAATATTCTATTTAGAATATTTCACGTATTTTTCAAAAAAATATGATTTTTTTTATTTTTTTTTAGTTAATTCAAGTTCCGAAAATAATATTTTAAAAAAGAATTTTTAGATTTTTCCATTTATTTTGTATTTTAAAATTATTTTTTAGAATATGTTGTAATATTCTATTTAGAATATTTCACGTATTAAAAAAAAAAAAAAAAAAAAAAAAAAAAAAAAAAAAACAGGATTTTTTTTTAGTTAATTCAAGTTCCAAAAATAATATTTAAAAAATGAACTTTTGGATTTTTCCATTTATTTTGTATTTTAAAATTATTTTTAGATTTAGTTTTACGGTCTCACAAAATTAGTATGGTTTCAAATGAACCTGAACCTATATATATATATATATATATATATATATATATATATATATATATATATATATATATATATTCCGTGCATTTATTTGAAATATATAAAATATAAATTAATACTTTATAGTTATATAAAATGTTAAAATATATAGTCATTATCAGCATAATATTTAATAAATGAAATTTTATTATATATTAAATAAAAGAAATTAGTAATGATAAAACAAATATTTAAAGTTTAAATATAATTAAGAAAGTAATGATATATTATTGAATAAGAAGAATTAAAATTGTCCTATTACTAAGCATTGAGCAGTATTAATTGATCGTTCATATAACTTAATCAAATTTACTAATAATACTACATTGCAGCAAATAAAGTTTAAAATTTTTTAAATAACCTGATGTAAAATTGTCCTATTACTACTTATGTATACCACCAAGTCATGAGACGCTGGCAAATGACTTCCCATTCCTATGTTTCTAGATGTCGTTGCACCGACGTTAATTCTTCTCAAATCACGTCTCCTATATACTACACCTTCCATGATCCAGCACTTATTCATCTTCATCACTTCTTTCTAACTATTTTTATAACTGAACCTTCTTTCTGGAGCTTAAGATGAATCCTGCAACAATAGAGATCAAAGTCGATAACACATTCAATGACATTAATGACGAAAACGACGACGCCTTCTCCCTCCGTGACCTTCAAATGTACGACAACACCAACGCCAGTTCCACCCACAGCAGCCCTAGAACTTCATCTGGCCAAGAACTATTCGAGTTCTTCCACACTCTGTCGAATCCGCCTGAAACTGTAGACATTGTGTTCTGTGGTAAAGTTATTCCTGGTTTGGTTGGTAATGGTAAAGGCAACGATGATCACTTTACACTTGTTAGATCGCCATCGTCGAGGTTGCCTGACCCGCCTGTAGTCAATCACGCGATCCCGATGCGATCCGCGTCGTTCTCGACGTCGGTGAAGAAAATGAACATCACTTCGCTGACGTCGATGTCTTCGAAGTCCAGGCGGAGGATGTTTATGTTTGGGCCGGTGAAGTTTTTGCCGGAGATGGAGATGAGCGCGATACGGGAGAGACAGCGACGTCGTGCTCCGTCGCAAATGTTCCCGGTGGCGGAAGGTGGTGGTAAGGAGACGACGGTTAAAGTGATTGCCGGGCGGCATAAGAATATTCAGAGGGATGCAGTAAAGAGATTGACGTGCAGGGCCCGCCTGAATACGGTGTTTGAAAGGTCGCTTGCTTGTCTTCGGCTTTGAATCGGCAATTCTTTTCGAATTCACTTTGACTTTTGAATTTCCACTCATTAACTAATTTATTTATTTGATAGTTTATACTTTATACCTTTATACCTTTATATTATGTTAAGATATATAAATTATAAATAATTATTATATAGATTTCACGAGATGGATAATAAAGAAATTTTGTGTATGTATAATAAGAAAAATATAATTTATAATAAATGAAATTTAATTATATATAAGAATGTATTTTTTTTATTTGTACAAACAAAAATGTATAAAAAAAACTAAATTTTATACATTGTTACAACTTTATATTCATGAAAAGAAATATGTAAAGGAAAAAAAAAAACTAAATTACAAATTTATGAAAAAAAATCTTAAAAAACATGCAAACAAAAACAAATATGTAAAAAAAATCTTTAAAAATAGTTTTATAAACAATAATGCAATAAAAATGATTTTGTAAAAAAAAAAGTTGTAAAAAATTAATTTTATAAGCAAAAACCTAAGTTTAAAAATATTTAAAAACACAATTGTAAAAGATATTGTGTAAACATTATAAAACATTTTGCCAAAATTTTTAATAAAATTTGAAAATTCAATTAAGTTTGTAATAAATAAATAAAATTTATAAAAAAAATAATTAAAAGAGAGTATACTTGGTTTAGAAGCTTGGATGTGTTCGATATGATGTTGGGTAGGCGGGCTTGGGTTTGGATATAAAATAGATAGGTTTATGACCCATGCGTAAGGTTAGACGGAGTGGGTGCGGGAAAGGAGTGAGGGAAGCTTCCTTCACTCCTGCACACCACCCCATGGGTGAGGGAAAGAACCGCGGGAAAAAAAGTGGGGGGAGGGGGTGCCGCACTCTCTCTCCTCACGCTATTGGCCAGTTTTTTTTTTCTTTTTTCTTTTTATCTTTTTTAATATTTATAAAATTATATATCTACTATAAAAATATAAAAGTATATTAAAATTAATGATTTTTAATTCCCTACAAAATGAGTATAATATATGTATGAAATATATTAAAAAAAAGTGAGGAAAAGGTTTCCCACCCATTCATTAGCTTTTAGGTGAATGAAAAAGAGGTATGGTCCACCAAAAGTGAGGAAAGTTTTCCTCCCACACCCTCCGGTCTAAAACATTTAAAAAAAGCATAAGTGTAAGGTGTTTGTATTCGAACAATAGATGTCACTACCACTATCCAACATGGTTTTGTTTAAAACTTACACAATAAATATAAAGTAAAAAAGATAGTAAATGTCCACGTATTGATAACTGGTAGTATCATATACGGCATGTCATGTAGAAAGTTTTGAAGCTTCTAGTTTTTAGCGAATGATAAAACGTTTCATTTTGAATAGAAAGTCTTATTTGGTACAACAAGTGTAGTATTTAATTTAAACAAAATACTCCAAATTCAAATATTATCCCATTTAGCGTTTAACAAAACGCTACCAGCTAGTTTTACTGAACACGCTTAGAATATCGATAATCAGTATGCTAGTTTTTCTTTTTTTTCTTTTTTTGAAATGACAAGTTTATTAACTTCATCCGAAAAGGATCTAGACAAAAATTAAATAATAATAATAATAATAATAATAATAATAAAATGTCAAAACAACCAAAAACTTACACGCACTTAAGTGAATTACATGTCCAATCCCCCATGTACAATTTGTAATGTTATCCATGTATTTCACCCGGCTAAAAATTTGTCACGGTTTTCAAAGACAACTGGTTTATTTATGATCAAAAGTTCAAATTTTCATATGTAGATATTTAAAGCGTACATAGGGTCTTTGAAGGTTTTCTTTATGAAATTTAAAGGACCATACGAGATTGGAAAATGATATTGAGTTACTGGAAGGAGGTTTTCTTTATAGTGTGACTACCATTATTAGGGGTGAGCAAAACCGCACCACAACTAAAATTAACCACAAAAACCGCATGAACCGCAATCGATAAACCGCGTCATAATAAAAACCAATTGTGGGGTTTTCTGTTTTTCGAAAAGCACAAATTTGTGGTGCGGTGCGGTTATTTGTTTTCAAAAACCACAAAAAAACCGCACTGCACCGCATAATCGCATATAATATATACAATTTTTTATTAATTATTAATATATTAAATATTAAAAATAAGACAAGTTTTATGGATGGAAGAATGATAAATTTCTAAAAGACAAAATTGTTGATTTTTTGTTATGTTTAACTTTAAAAAATTATGAAATTTCACAATTTTAAGATATTTATTGTTAATTATTAGTGATTTCACGTTTTTAAGATATTAGTTGTTTATGATTTAAGTTAATTGTTTTATACCTTATTCTTTTTTTAATATTACAAATAATATGTTTGAACTCTTAAAACCGTTTAAATTCTAAACCGTGGTTAAAAACCACACAAAATAACCGCACAAAATCCATGCGGTTAATAACCGAAATAAAATAAATAAATAACCCTACACCTCAAAAATAATCGTCTAACCGCACCGCAAAAATAACTGCACCAATTTGAAAATGGATTAACTGTATTTGCGGTTAGTAGTGAAGTTTTGATCAATAACCGCACCGCTCACCATTTTATAGAAAAAAAAAAAAAAAAAAAAAAAAAAAAAAAAAAAAAAAACTCTAACCATGGAAACGATGATTGCAATCAAATCTAAAGTTATTTGACACCTTTTCCTTTTCGAGATTGGAGTTCATTTTGTCCGTGTTTGTGAATTTTAAGTTAGAAATATTATAAAAAAAAAATTAATACACTAGAATACATTTTATTTTCAATGTTTAAGTTTATTTTGTTCAGTGTTTATAAAACTTTAGTTATATAAAATTGCAAATCAAAATGAATAGACCAAAAAAGAAAAAACCCTTTCTTAGGTAACTTTTTTGTGACATTGTTTTTTTCAAATGTTTTTGTTGAATGTAGGAATGTTCACTTATACGTTTACAAAACGATCATTAATTTATTATACACCAACAATATTCAGAATGGGTTCGAGAGATGAAATGTTGATAATCGAATCTCAACCCGATAATGTGAAGATTGCTCCGACATTGAATGGTCTCTTGTATATGAAAGATCTAATCCATAATCCATAATATAGAATAAACACAGATACATAACGTAATAAAACAACATATAATAACGATAAAACTTAAAATAGGGGGAAAAATAACCATGTGTATATGTATATATTATACTGACAACAAAAAACAATGAAAATTAACAATAAAAGAAGTGAAGATATAACAATAAAAGTTAAAAGTAAGAGAATTAAAATTTATAAGTGATAGTGGAAAAATATTAGCATGCAGTTGAAGCAGAAATCTCTAGAACTCCAAATTGCAGATTTAAAGCTTCAGCAACATGAAGAAAAGTTGGTGAAAGAACAGTCTCAGATGAAGATGTATGCAGAACAAGTGTCGCAATTGCTGGCCACTGAAAAGAATTTACGGTTACAGTTAACTGCTGATGGTGAAAAATTCCAGCAATTCCAGGTTAACCTTTTCTTTTTTTAGTTTTACAAGCATGTGCGGATGCACTTTTAACAAGCTAAGCTTGTTTTCTTTTTTGGTTGCTTCACATAATCGAATCGAGCCCATGAAAGATTTTTCGGTTAGTAATGAAAGAATCTGAAAATATTGGTTCCAAAGTGAATGAGTGGTAATGTTTTGTTTTGTATCACCTCACTTGCTTCTTTCGAAATTACATGTCTTTCCCTTTTAACAATACACAATCATTAAAATATATATTGCCCATGTCAATATGACTATAATTATAGTTTGTAGGCATGAGGTGTTTTTTTTTTGACTAAAACAAGCTAGCTTCTGCTTCTGCAAATGGCAGAACCAAACATTAACAGTTGTTTAAAAAGTGACTACATAAAATATCAATTCATTTTTTTTCCACTTTTTTAAGTTATGAAGTTAGTTTTCGTGGAGTGAATAGCAATTTGTAGTGGTTATTTTGATTAAAAGTGTACATAGGGTTTAATTATATCTTCGATCTGTAAATAAGTATTTATATAAAATATAATACCTTATCCACGAGAACGCTACCGACGCACCACCAATAACGCATCTGCCACGAAAATAAAAACAAGAAACCTAGCAATCGAAAAATCGTAATACAAAATACAAGAAACTAGTGTTTAATTTGTGAATGAAAACGCTGCAGGGAGGGAAAGTGAATGAAAACTTTTACCTGAATTTTTTCTGTGCGTATAGAAAATGTCGAGAGAGAAGAGAAAATAAAACACAAAGATTAGAATGACGGAGAGGTTACGCTATCGGATCTGAATGACATCCTATTCAATACGATTACTTCCTCTTTTCGCGTCCGGTTTCAGAGATAACAAGAGAAGTGGATTTTTCCTTAACGGTGCTCATTAGCTTAGGAGTGGTCAGCCTCGCTGTACATTGCCCTGGCGCGCGCTAGGAGCTCGCCGGCGATGGAGAAGAGAAAGAAAGAGTATTGCTGTTTTGTGTTTTTTTTTTTTTTCAAAAGAAAAAAATCTAAGAAAATAATATACTATCATTCTCTACATTTTTTTAATTATGTAATCCACCCTTTAAGTCATCCGGTTCTTAGACCTTAGTCATACATTCTTGAGTAACTTATAAATATGGTGCCTATTGTATATCTTTTTTCCAATTTTGTCCACATTTTTACTTTTGTATCAAAGTCATCCATATTGTTTGTTTTTTTTATACAAGGCAAAAAAGAATATGACATTCTAATTTTTAACGTATGTCTATTGTTAATTTGGAAACTGGGAACAGTAACGGCCGACTAAATACAAAAGTTGTTGGACTCATTCATCTGGCAAGGCCATTGTTAATTTGGAAAGCTAGAAACCACGTGAGGTTCAACAACAAAATGTGTAGGCATGCAATACATGGGTACTAATGTTTTTATTGATTAAAAATAGGGTGAAGCTTAGAGGTTAATTGAAACGTTTGGATTATCTTTTCTTTTTGGCTTGTAATGTTAAAAATGGTATTGTTTGTGAGGGTGGGTCTGTTTGCTACTATATTAATGTCGTTCAGAAAAAAAAAAAAAGATATGTGAATTTTAGATGATTCCGTCCCTTACAATTGGTATCGTGAAATTATCAAAGAGCCCAGTTGATTAAAAGGGAGATGATGGAGATGGAACTCCTTTTTCAAGAAACTAGTAGGTTTGAGAAGTTAAAAGTTATGTTATAATTAAGTTAAATAATTAATACATACGAAATTGCAACTTTGCAAGTAGCCCCTCCGTCTTTCTCACACCAACTAACAAAGTTGGAATCTCACCTAAACTTTTAAATAGATAAAATAATAAAACTCAATCTTAATTTCTAAAGTCAAACCCTATCTTCTTCACAAAAGATGTTGACTGTTGACACCCACCCACGTGGACGATGTCATCAATCATCATTGTTTACCAATAAAGTAACATTCAAACCCTCCAGTTTCTCCAAAACTTGACAATCAAACCAACTTGAAAATCCATTATCCATTACTTTTCAAGACTTTAAACATATCATCATCCACAACACAAATACAAACTCCTGTGAAAAAGAACACTACTATAATATAACCTCTTTTTCCTTACCTACAAACAACATTGACATTGACATTGACATTGACAGACAGAATTATTTTGTGTATCTTGATTAATAAATACAACAAACTACAAACCTCTTCCTCTCCCCAAAATGAAAACAACCTAAAAAAAGACCAAAAAAGACGGCTTCTCCTATATCAGCCATCCAATCATCCTAACTCCTATCACTGCTTGCTCAATTCCTTACATATAATACAGAGGCGCGATAAAACATCATCATCATCATCATCTGCTACCTATATCACCGCTATTACTGCCATTGTTGTACTGTTCTGTTTTAGCATAATGCATTCTAATGGCTGCCACTGGATCCGAAACCAAAACCCCTTTGAAAGACTCCTGGTTTTTGTATGAATACACTTGTCTTGTTTGAAAACCAGTCTTGACTGAAGAAGATGAAGAAGAATTACCAAAGATGGAAGAAGGGTCTGGTAAAGAAGGAAACCCGGTGGTTTGTATTCTGTTCCCATCCCAAAACCCGTAACTCCTCCTCAATGGAACCTCTGATAGACCATGATCATTATTAGTATCAATATCAAACTTCAAGTTAAAAGATGATTTTCTTTTTTCACCATTCTCTTGCAAGCTACTAGTATTTGTATTTGTACTTGTTTTTGATCCAGATAAAGATAAAGAGGGCTTTATTAGAATCTGACCAAAAAGCTTCACATCACCCTCACCCTGTCTCTGTCTCTGACTCTGTTTTTGCAAACATGAATCACGTGGCAGACAGTGCTCTGGTAACAGATTTTCATCTTTTTGTACAACAACTTGGGAGGATGAGGATTCAACACAATCCATTAATGAATGTTTTGGAAGATGATGATACCCATCAGTACTTGAACATCTTTGAGAACCACCAATGCTTTTTCTAAATGAGAGTCTTGATGATGTATCAATATCATCTTGGCTAACACTCTTCCTGTGTGAACTCACACCTGGAAGAAAACCATTCTCTTGACAACCCTTTGACTTTTCTACACCATTCAACTCCATTTTCTTAGTGTTATTGTTATTCACAGGCTGCTGCTCAATGCTTAAATCCATACAGATGCTGCTGTCTCTTGAATTAAGGTCCTGTAACTGTTTTGACTCCTCATTTACTACAATCTGCTCAGATTCAGATTCAGGAACTTCTTGCTTTATATCAGATGAGTGAAGGAGGTCTTCTACTTCCATCTTTACATCTGAAGATGATTTATCGCATGAGATAACAGACCCACTATCCACCATGCATGTATCATCATGACCATGACCATGATCAACATCACCATCATCATCACCAGCTTTCCTGTGAATGGAATCCAATCCAAGACATTTCCGTGCCTTGCTGTAGAAAACTTTGCACTCATCTCTCGACCTTGTTTTCATGCATCTTGAAATCATTGAAAAATCCTTACCATAAGATCTAACTGCCTGCAAGAAACTAGACTTCTCTTCATCAGTCCAATCAGAAGAAGTAGGATTCATCTCTCCTCCACAACTCTCATCACCTGCACCAGTTTCCTGTTCATTACAAAGCATTTCTGAATGCAGTTTATGTTCACCATCCACACTGGCAACCATTTCTGAAGCAGCGCCAAGCATCTCAAGGGAAGTAGCATCTGCAGCCATTCGCCTCCCAGATGTCACCAGGTACGTATTAGTAATACAAGACATCCCTTTTGCAAATGCTGATTTCTTCTTTATCTTCTGAAAACATTCAGACTTGTGGTTCTTGTAGTAAAACTCAACACAATCACCACATGTTTTGTTTTTCAGAAAAGACGCGATTTTCTTGAAATCTTTTCCAAACAAAGCATACTTTTCCAAAAAGATTTTCTGCGCTTCTTCTGTCCAGGCACTGACAACGGATCTTTCCTTTTCAACTTCAAGAGGGTCCTCCACCAATCCATTATCTGAAACAAATCTTGTCATCGTTCGTTCGCTCCTGTCTAATATCAAACAAGGCATCTTTAATGTCTTCCTCTGAACCTTCACCCGTGAATCTGAAAGCAGCTTCTTCACATAATCAAGTGTCTCTGTGGTTGGAACCAGACTCACACTCCCACCTACAACATCAAATTTAGAGTTCAACACACACACACAATATATATATATATATAAAACACAGCAAGATTTCATTTTAAATGGTTCAGTTCGGTCACTTACCAGGAGAACCTAAACGAGAATAAATTGAAGAACAGTATTTCTGATGATCAGCATATCCCATTCGTGAGCTCGATTCAAACTTCTTCTGTGACTTGCCACCAGTTTTTTTTACAGAAAGCAACTGAAGATCTTCCTTCCATGCATGCTGTAACACCCGAAACTTACTTGTGATAACCCTTTCCTTAAACTTTAGAAAACGCTTCCTCGAAGCAATTGTAGTCTTATTCAATGATTCATCAGTGGATTTCAAAATACTGGTACATGAGTGTGTAGTTGGCAATAACATCCTATTAAGTTCATCAGAAGTTTCATTTGCCATAGCTTTGTTTGCAGCGAATAAGAGATCATATAACTTATCATCTTCTCTGCCATTATCTACATCCTCGCCATCTGAAACTGTAGAGCTACTGCGGTCCCCACAAGAAGTTACAAAGCCTAAAGCATCATCATTACCAACATCTTCAGAGCATTTAGAAACAGACTCCACAAACTCAGATGTTGTGTCTGAACTCTTGTCATCTGAATCTTCTGCTCCATTAACTTCTTCTGGAGAGCTATCAGTTTTCTCCACAGGCAAAGGTCCACCACAAGTCTTATTCTGGTAATCTGTTGGGAAAGAAGCAGCATCTGAAACCAATGACTTCAATTCATGCTCAAGAGAATCAATTTCAGTTTCTGTCATTTCAAGTGTCCTTGTCAGCTCTGCTTTCCATACATGTAACTTGTCCATTGCAGTAGATTTCACAAATTTAGACCCTGGAGAACTTGAATCATCAGCCTGCAGCAGTTTATCAAGTGCAGAGCTAAAGTTGAGCTCCAAATTCTCCAAATTTGATGATAATCCCTCTGTGTCATTCTCAGACACATGACAAGAAGCAGGATTACAGGTGCCATTATCCACTGTAACTGTCTTAGTAGATTCCTTTTCTTCTAGACCTGTCATGGCAATAGAGCGCATACAGTTTTAGATTCATCCTTACATAATATATAATAAAAAGCAATGTTTTAAAAGTCAGTAATTTAGTTGACATGGTGTGCAGACCGAGTCACAGTTCAACCACCGGGTCAACCCGGTTCTCATAATTTTCATTCATTCATTATATATATATATATATATATATATATATATATGTGTGTGTGTGTGTACATTTATGGATAAACCAGGAATTTGATGTCTCACAAATTGAAACATAAGAAAAACACATAATCACAAGTTCTTGATTATGAGAATTGATCCTGGTTCAAGTCATTTTCATGTTTGTTAGCCTTTGATTCAAAAAATAAAAATAAAAAATTCTTGAATCTTGTTGTCGATGTAGTATTTTTATAGCATGTAGGAGATAAAGATTGTTTGTATAGTTACAGATGATGATACTGCACTAGATGGGTATAACAAGTTTCAGAAAAATAATGGAAAAAAGACGCATGTGATGAATATAAGCATTATACAAGTTACTGGTCAAGGTTTTTATACAATTGGCGAGGCTTCCAAGTTCCAAGTTCCTTTTTTGCGTATTTTTGTGGATTCTTGAATACCATTCTGAAACGCTCAGCTTAATTCTCCAAATGACTGAAATTTTTGTGACTAAATATGAATAAACAACAATGATCATGAGTTTTAAGTGGTTCAACTCGGGTTAGTGGTTCCAGGTTCACCATTCATGATTGGCCTGCTCTCTTCATTGGGTCACGATCCAAGGTTCAACAGGCTGGGTCAACCCGGGTTTTAGAACAAATCAAAGTATATGAATTACCTGGAGAGGAACTGCAAGCATACGAGTAAGGAGTAGTAGGAGATGCACATTCTGAATAACCATTGACACTGAGGCTTTTATCAGTCAAACTAGAAGGACTAGTAAGCAAAGGTTCAGAGCCACTGACACCATCAACCATACCATTTCTAGCTGCAGCCTCTTTATCAAGAAGAATATCTTCAGGGTCAACCTTCTTTTTCTCATACTTGGCAAGGCCTTCCCCCCATCCAAGGCGCTGCTTCTTGCGGGAGGTGGCCTCATCATGAGTCATTGGTGTCACACAGGGGGAAGCATCCTCAGAGGGGGATCGAAGAGGAGTGTTGTTACCCAGTTGGCTGTTCTTAGCATGTTGGTCAGCTGACTGAAGTTGATCCAGCGAGTTCACAAAGTCATTATGGGGAAGAGAGTTACCGTTGGGTGATGCAGTGGTCTCCCAAGAGTTGACTCCTTTAGGGTCTTTCAGACTCCCAAAAGCCATACAATTATTCTCTTTGGTGCCTGATTCAACTGTTGTATTGTGCCAGCCACCACCAACCCGCTTACCATGAAGACCTTTACAGGCAAATAACCAACAAAAAAACACATAAGGAAAATCACCAAACTAATTAGCGAAAGTAAAAATAATCACCCCTGTCAAGACAATAATTCTTGAAGACTATCTAGCTTCCTCCGAACACAGATATCATGCCAATAAATGCAAGATATAACAACAGATCTATGAAATTACTAGCCATACGGTTCAAATTAAATGACTATCTTCCCTTCCTCTCAGATCTGTCCCCAATTCTATATGCCTGTAGCGCGTGTGTGCGTACTTAGGAGAAGAGAAGAGCAAGGCAGTCTATAACATAAAGAAGTAGACTTGGTTCACTGAAATTAATTTCAAAGCAAGCAGATTTTGGTTTCCAAACCCCAAGTATGTCACCAGAATGGGAAAACGCTAGAAACATAACACAAAAACTAACCGGAAAATGGTCGGCGGAAATCAGAGGGTCCACCTCCAGCGCCCCATCGACAAAACGAGGAGGATCCATGGATGTTATGCTGCGAAGGAGTAGTAGGCGGCTCTCTCCATCTCGGCGGAACAATTCCTACAGGGTCCGCATACGACGGCTTCCTATCCTTCAAAAAGTCCTTCCGGTCGAATGGCAATGGCTCCGGCGGCATCAATGGTTCAATTTAATCAAAACCAGTTCCAACGATACCTTATCCACAAGAACGCTACCGACGCACCTCCAATAACGCATCCGCCACAAAATCCGTAACGACAAATCAATCGAAATAACGTCTCTTTGTTAGGGTTATTCCACAACAAACAACAAGGAGATCTTACAAACTATTCCACAGTCGAAATCGGTTAAGATTAGGGTTAGATTCTAAGAAATGAACCGCGACCGTGAGGGAAGAAGAAGAATGAGAAGTTCCCAAATTTCTGAGCGTTTGGAAAAATCTGTAGAGAGAGAAAGAGAAGAGAACGTGAAGTTGATAAGCTGAGAGACAAAATAAAAATAAAAATAAGAGTTGTTAAAATGACGGGTAGGTTACCCTCTCTTATGTATCTCAACGGCACCCCTTTAAACCCGAATTTATTCCTGTTTTCACGTCCGGTTTGAAAATAAAAAAATAAAAAATATAAATTAAATAATAATTCCTGTCTTTTTTTGCTTTTGCTCTTTCCCTCCGCTTTCTCTTATTCATTGCCCTAATTGCGGGGATGCCTGCGAATTTTCAAAAATACCCTTGGCTTTGGGGCAAATGGCATTTTAGTTTTTGCTTTCTTCTTATATTTTTCATTTTGTTTTTTACGGTAATATCTAATAAATGGTAAAATGTCAAGGAAATTTTTTTAAGTGTACTAATATTTCTATTTTTTTTTTTTTTTTGAACGGCTAAAGTGGTTTTTTTACTTTTATGTTCAATATATTTAACTCATTTTGTTTATTATTTTACCTCTATTGGAATTGGGTTCGAGAAAGGTTCAACACTTGGTATTTACATCTTTGCTTTGATTATGGACTAAGTATCCCCAATGGCGGATCATGGAGACCATACAAGATATCCTCGGTGTACTATAAGAGCGTCCAAGGTAGGGGTGAGCATCTGGACCGTTGAATCGGACTGGACCGTGTTTATTTGGATCCTCGGGCCGGTTCTCGGTTCTAGGAATTCATCAAAACCGGTTCGGTTTTACCAGGTTTAGAACCGGTTGGATCCGATCTAAAAAAATTTCTAATCTGTAAATTTTTTTAAACAACCATAACTCATTTGTTTTAAATCGGATTGACACGCGATTTTTTCCAATATTTAATTTACAGTTTGTAGATGAATTTTGACTATAATTTTGTTGATTTTTGGTATTATATTCAATGAGTTACAGTCTTTCAAAGTTGAATTATCAAAACTGAAAATTTTTAGCTTTTTAGCAAGAGTTTTAAAATTTTGTAATTTGTGAATTTTTTTAAACAACAATAACTCATTCGTTTTAAGTCGGATTTACCTGCAGTTTTTTCCAACGTTTAATTTACAGTTTATAAATGAATTTTGACTATAATTTTGTTGATTTTGGTATTATATTCATTAAGCTACAGTCTTTCAAAGTTTAGTTATCAAAGCTGAAAAATTCAGCTTTTCAGCATATTTTTAAAATTTTGTAATCTGTAAATTTTTTTAAACAACCATAACTCATTCGTTTTAAATCGGATTTACTTGCGGTTTTTTCCAACATTTAGTTTACAGTTTGTAGTGAATTTTGATTATAACTTTGTTGATTTTTGTATTATATTCAGTGAGTTACAATCCTTCAAAGTTGAGCTATCAAAGCTGAAATATTTCAGTTTTTTAACTATTATTTTAGAATATAATTCTAAATTTTATGTATATTTGACAGATAAATCATATGAAAGGGATTTTTGGAAAATTATTTTTGCAAGTTATAATATTATAACATCAAGGTAGATTAGTAATACATGAAACGGAAACGTAATCATTTTTAAAAATTGTATCGTATCAAACTCATCAAGATATTCATTTTAACGAGTTCAATCAAACCTAAAAACTTATTTTAATTACTTATACTCTATTCAATTAAAGTTGTACCGGTCCAAACGGGTCCAAGAACCGGAAAGCTCGGACCTGAACCGGACCCGCACACGGATTCGAAAATGACTCATCCGGTCCGGTCCACGATCCACAATATTCTCCATATTCGGTCTAGTCCAAGAGTCGGTCCGGTCCGGTTCGGTCCAAATGTCACTCATATTCCATAGATCCCACTTGAAAGTAACCTCCATTTTACTAAAACAACCCTTGAAATTTTCATCTGTTGCTCAAATTATCCCTTTTAACATCAATTTTTGTTGAAAAAACCTCTTTTTGTAATATTTTTAACAGAAAAATCCCCCAAAAAATCTCATTTTTTTTCTATTTTCAAATTTTTGTTTATATTTTTATATAAGATGGACATCATTAATATTGTTTATGGACCCTTCATTGGGTATCCCAAAAGATACAAAGTAAGGTACCATGTTGTGTGTGTATGTGTGTGTGTTTGTATATATATATATATATATATATATATATATATATATATATATATATGTGTGTGTGTGTGTATATATATATATATGTGTGTGTGATATTGGTTTGGTTGTTGAATCTATAAATGAGTTCAATGTTATGTTGGATACATGGAAACTAAGTATAACATCCATAAAATTTTGAAAATTTTAAAACTTTTACATAAATCCAAAAACCATCATTATGTACAAATTGTTTTCAAAAATAAGTTCGACATCAGAGAAATCTCAGAAATTATGAAAACAACATATGAGGAGGTGCACGATCATTCCTTCGCCTTCTCGCGATCCTCTGAGATTACTGAAACATAGTCGGAAGCTGTAAGCCTGAAGTTTAGTGAGTTCCCCCAAAATATCAACACAATACAAAAAACCAGAATAATATCACAAACAGAATGCATTCAGAGCCTTCAGTCTGACTGGAACGCCCCACCTGCCTACAGTCTATCGGGTACGCTCATATAACCTGCAACATGACAAACACACTACCTTGGGCCTTCAACCTATCTGGAACGTTCTCCGAGCCTTCGGCCTGACTAGTACACCCCACTGGCCTTCAGTCTATCCGGGACGCCCTAGGTCTATTGGCCTTCAGCACAAAGCAGGTTCGCCTCAACCCAACCGTACATAACATGTCAACATATACATAATAATTAAACATATAACCAGTCCACAGACAAACACTAAGCATAACATCATCATATTACTAGGATACATATCTAACATATTACTACAATACTCATTCATATAATAATCAGGACAATAATCCAAAAGGGTCGGTCTTGGTGCCTTCGACCCAACAAGTAAAATGAGGAACACTCACCTCACAAGTAGTGTTAAATTGGTAAAATCCAACTCTAAAACTCAACTTCGGACTCAAATGCCTAAAACACCATGTGACCATCCCCATTAAAACCCCGAAATACCCAAAATGCCCTCAAGAGTCAAACTTGGCCAACCATGGTCAAAGTCAAAGTTAACAGTTAATGTCAACATTCCATGTTGACCCAACTCATCGAGTGCACCCACTGACTTTTCGAGTTCCCACAGTACTCAAAAGATCAGGAAACCCCTAAGTTGGCTGGAAAACTCGTCGACTTAACACATTCAGTCCTTTTTCATCAAGTCTAACGCTTTAAAATGTAGATCCGATACCCAAGAGCTGGAAAACCACGTAAAGTTGCTAACTTTACGTCAATGCATGTTATAAAGAGGCTCCAAAACTCAAGGAAGGCTTAATAAGGGACCTAAAGCAAGAAGGAGGCCTAGAACTTAATAAAGATTGAAACTTTATGTCCAACGAGGCCACAAAACATCGAGATCTGAAGTGATAACTTCATAAAATACTCAAACCATGAACAATCCAAAAAATGAGCCAAATTATGACAATAGACTTCTAAGGAAGAGATCTAAGAAATAGATAAGCAAGGTGTCAACTTTATACCTCAAACTGACTGCAACAAAAGAGTAGGTTCTGGATCTATAGCCTTCTTTTCAATCAAGCCACCTCAAACTTTAAGCTCCTTCAAAATAACACCAAGAAATCACTCTTCAAGCTCACACATACAAATATGGGTGAGGATGCACGAAACTAGGGTTTTTGGATAGAGGATACTGGTAAGGAGGCCATCTAAAAGGTATAAGGCCTTTTAAATAGGGTGAAACACCCTAAAAATTAGAATTTCATAATCAGCCACTAACTCGTCGAGTTTGCCTCTCCAACTTATCGATTTGGTCCAAAAAGATGTGCGACCCAAGGCCTTTAAACAAGTCGAGTTGAGGCCATCAACTCAACGAGTTCCAGGGGAAACTTGGCTTTTTAAAATACTAAATCTCATACATGGGAATCAGGATGTTACAACTCTCCCCCACTTGGACTAGGCTTTGTCCTCGAAGCCTACTACGGTGAACAACTCCGGGTAATGCTCCTACATCTCTGCCTCCGTCTCCCAGGTCCACTCAGAGCCCTTCTGATGTTGCCAACATACCTTTATTAAAGGTATTTCCTTGTTGTGTTATAACACCCAAAGTCTTAAAGGCCATGAAAGGAAAGAAAAGCCCTAATTTAAGGGCCGACTCGGCGAGTCCAAGGAGGGACTCGGCGAGTCCGAGCGGGATCCGGGTCTAGTGTAAGCGACCGACTCGGTGAGTCGGCCAAGGTGACTCGACGAGTCTGGTCTGTGCGTGGAAAACCCTAAATTCGGGACTTGGAGCCTATATAAATGTCTTAATCTTCTTCCTAGGGTTCCTTACTGCCTCTTTAGCCCTGGATATCAAACCCTAGCCGTCACATCTCCTAGTTGAGCCTTGGAAGGTGCTTTAAAGTTTGGAAAAGGAAGAAGGAACTTGGAGGAGCAAGAAGGAGCTATAGATCTGGGATTGTGAGTTCATCTGAGCACTTGGAGGTAATAAATTAGTTCCTGGACCCTTTTTGCACCTAGATCTATGTGTGGTTGTTGGGGCTCTTTAGCCATAATGTTATTATTTCGAGTTAGAAGTCGGATCTGGAGTTGCTACTTCAGATCCAAGTGTGTTATGGCCTGGAGAAGCATAAAGTATCAGCCATTAAGTCGATTTTGAAGCCCCTTGGCC